AAAAACTTACTAAACAACATGCTTTTAGTAAGCTTTAATATTCTGGCAAAATGATACGTTATAATGGTAAAAAATAAAAACTCAGTATTGGTTAAACTTTCTGGATGGACTCCTGACAGGGCACTACCTCTTAAGAAAGCATATGCACCGGATAGGAGTTTAGACAGAAGAAAGTGCAGATACTGCCAGGAAGAGGATGAGACCGCAGAACACATTTTATGTTTCTGTGAAGGTCTATGCAGGTGCAGGTTCTTGCAACTAGGACAAGAAAAACCACAAGCAAGATCCTACACCAAGGAGCATCAGGCAAAGCTTTGGAGGCTGGTTAATAACCTGAACCTGATCAGTGAGTTATAAACAACACAATAGATCCATTCAAGTCGAGGTGCAGTAGGCCTTGTGGCCGCCTCTTTTATCGCTATCCCTATTGGTTAAACTTAAAATTTTTGAAAATTGAATATCAACCTATGAAGAACCCACTGTTAAATTTTTTTAACGCATGAATTTAAAAAAAAATACGTTGGGACGATTACCTTACAGCAATTGAAATACTGTTAAGAAAATTGGGATGATTGAAAAGCTGAATTTCTTATTGCAATTGAATGTTAGGTATAACAGTAAAAAAAATAATTACCTCTAATTCCTGTCCCACTTAAACAGGTTCGTCCCGATCTCCGGAACTTTCTTCTGGTCTACTTAATTCATAAAATTAGCATCAACGCCAGAAACGATACGGGAAGTATTGGTGTCAGAAGGGATTTGTACAATTGTATATATCTCCCTTATCAAGGATCACGATAATTTTCGAGAGAAAAAAATCTCTCACACACGCCATGTCGGGTTTCAGGTCAAGGAAAAGTATTAGCTAACTATTTATAACAGTACTGCAACTTGTAAGTAGGGCTGGTCTTCGCGTTCATTGACATTGCTCGATTCTTATTATCCCTAACCGACTCAATTAGACTTTATACCGTTTTAATACCGTTTATAAAATTTCAATCAATTATCGCACATTTCGGTTAAATTAAATAAAAGATAAAACACGAGCTTGACTTCTGACAAAAGACATGAACGCTGTAGGTGGAATACTTAACTCGAAGAATTAGCATTTTTTATTCAAAGCAAGTGAATTAATTCAGTGTATTTACATCAATGGTCTGTGTCTGATTTCAAATGTTTAAAACACTCCTTGGTCTCTTACGAGAATTTACATTCTTTTCAGTTGAGTCCCAATTGAAAAGGACGCATAATTTAATTCTTGCTAGAAATTATGTAATTAAACACACAAAAAAACACAAACATACTTTCTGGCTGACCATAAAGCATCGGTAACATATTAAAGTAGTCAGTCAAGTCGAAAATTTTAAAGAATATTTTATTAACAATAAATTTTTCTCCGATACAGTACATGCTTTTATGTTATTGAATTTTTACAAACCTTCTATTTTTTTAATTCCAGTTATTATTTAAGAAATACATATATTTTTTTGATTAGGTCACAACACTAGAACGCTACAAGCAACCCTTTATCTTCAATGGGAATTTATTTTACAAGAGAGCATCCCATTAGTTACACTCCTTTCACAGACTATTCACTTTCCTTACTAGGAAGGAAATCACGAGGTCATTGGCGCTTTAGGCGTCTTGAAGGATGTCGGGAAGGGTTTTGGATGAAAGTTGGTGGAGTTGGAAGTTGGGATAAGGGTCCAGGGGTTTATGGTTCTGTATCGACAAAAGAGGAGTTGAAGTTCTGTGTGAATGTGGTTCGAAGGATTTTGGAGTGCAGGGTTAGTTGAACCCCAGTTCAATTCCGATTGATCGTAATAGAATTCTTTTGAATCTAGTGAGGGGTTCCAAATAAGCCTTTGGTCGATGTAAAGTCCCAGTGAAAGTTACTTGCTAAGATTTGGTTTCTGTTTATCTGCCCTGGATGTTTCTGACAGCTATGTAGATGAGTCGTTTGTTTTCTAGTGAGAGCAATATTTTGTCAAGTCGACTGTTCAGTTTTGAATTGAGTGTGTGGGGTTCTAAGTAAATCTTTTGTCGATGTAAAATCCCAAATAAGTTGCTGGGAAAGGAACAGAGTTGTAGCAAATTGGGAGAGGTGTTACGGCGAACGGTGAAGGTTTTTTGCTGGGACTTGGTTTTATTGATTTGAATCCTCCATTTCTTGAACTATTCTTTTAAAAAGGAGAAATTGTATGGAGGTTTCTGAACGCTACTATTGGTTCTGGGTTTGCTGAGAGGACGGCGGTGTCGTCTGCATATGTGAGGAGTACTGTCTCATAGGAATGTTTCCAATGTACTGTGCAGAGAATGGGACCAGGGATATTGCCTTGCGGAACACCCGCTTCGGCATAGTGAATGGGAAAGAAGTATGTTCCGATTCGTAGTTGAAAGCTCTAGGTACGATTTGAGGATGAGGTTACAAGTGAATTGTTTTTACTTGAGTTACTTGAATGGCAAGCCCGGGTGCCACATTGAAGTCAAGCCTCGCGTCCAGGAAAGCACTCGAGCAGCATGACGAGTATGCTGGTGTCGCCTGAATCCGAATTGTTGGGATGGAATGACACTAGAAAAACTTTCAAAGATGGGATATAGGGATTTAATGAAGAGTTTTTTCATTCATGTTATAATAACCACCCAACAGGCCTATATGGCTTAGGCTATATACTGAGGTTTTTCAATTTTGAGAATTGGTTTTATAATTGTTATGTTCCATTGGATTGGGAAGAAGGAAGCTCTAACGACTGAGTACGGTAAGGACAGGTAAGGAAACTTATAGCTTTTTTTAAGGAAGATTTTGTAGGAAGTTTGTGTTGATAGAGAAAAAAACCAGGAAATTTTATTGCTCAGATGATGAATTTAATCTATAATGCAGAGAATAGAGAGGCTATCTCCGGAAGAAGCGATATCCTATCCCGACTGCAAACATAGTAAAATTTCTAGGCATGTATCGTAATTAAGACGACAGTGGCGAAGGGACCTACTTAATAACTACTAGGTTAGGTCGTCATTGATCAATTACCTTTTCTAGTCATCACGACCATTTGAATTTTAATACTATAGATGTGCATGTATGCATATATATGTATATGATTTATAGTTGTGACTATTAATTTTGTTAAACAATACAATATAAACCTTTGTTCGTTCCTGGCACAAATTTTATTAGATTTTATCACTAAAAGTGATGGTTCTTACTCGATTGTATGTGACAATGAATTTCAGTATATTTGGGTGTACGTTAAACTGCTAACAGTTGCTTTAATTTTTAAAAATGACTCTATATTGATCTCTTTGTTCTAAAAGGACAAATTTTTCAAAATGTGAGCTCGAGATATGAATATGCATGGCACGGGCATGATTTCCTCAAAGGAAAATGTTCATACATTCAAAGGTTATTCCTTAAATGTTTCGTAAGAAAACGCACTATCTGTATCTTTTTGGAGAAACGGAAGTCTTAATTAATGAAAAAATGCAGGTTTTTTCTCCTTATTGCAAATCATATGCATATATCTAGATCTCATATTACGAAACGTCAGTAATGACATCATGAGTTAAAGGGTAATCACCCAGAAATAAGGGGCATCGGAAAAACCAAAACCCCAAATAAATTTTGTGGCATAAACACAAAATGCTGGTGCCGTAAAACAGAAAAGAGGCTAACAAAAAAAAACATCTCGAAAAAGCAACCTAATGGAGGAAAGATGAAATCCTGTTCAACAGAAAGGAATTAAAAACCTTAAATGGCACAGTTACAGGACTTACTCCAGTAAAGTACCTTCTTAAAAAATTATGATTATCAGCAGATTAATTTACATATGTGTTGAAGAAGCAACATATCCATACATATAGTATACAACTGCCCAGGAAAAGTTAGGGAAATGACTTGAGCAATGCAGACCTTGATATCACACCCCTGAGAAGAACTCGTCACTTCTTATAAAAGAAAAGAAAATCTATAAAAATCCATTAACAAAGATCGGCTCAAAAGACAAATTTGTAAGTGCTAAATAAAGGGAAAGTTAAAGGGTAAAGGTTCGGTTCTCGAAGTTTTAAGAAAGAAATTACACTACGATTTTAAACCAGTGTGAATGTGTGTGCACAGTAATTACTCTCTATATTGACCTCTTTCCTCTAAAAAGACATGTTTACGCCAAAATTACTGAATAAATTATTTAATTTCATATACAGGAGCTTTTTATTAAAATTGAGTAACTGAACCACACCTGCGGCTTTACGAATAAAAATACTAAAGTAGGTTGAAATTACAGTAATTTGTGCATTTTATGATTGATGTTAAGTCGTCTAGAAAGTAAATTATAAATTTAAAATTACAGTAAAGGTCAATAACATGTAAACAAATACGTGGTTTTAAATGATCGATCTTAGGTTGTCGGATAAGTCAAAATGGTACTGAAATACCCAATATGAATAAATTATATCGTCGATTCTAGTTCTGTGAGACAAGATATTTAAATGACATTAGTTTTTTAATGGAATGAACTAGTACAGTTTTATAGTACAAGAACAAAAAAATGCTATGTTGCAACCTGCTAATACCGGTTTTTCCTTATAGATCACACCCTACTGTTTTTCGTTGTTTATTCATTTTCAAGTTATCTGTCTATTTTAATATGATTTATTCTATGCCTTCTTTAAAAACAAAAGGAACAAAATATTCTGGTTGAATGTTATTTGTCATATATACTGTTTTGATTGTCACATATTTATGTATTTAAAAACTGAAAATAATATAATTTTATTCAATATAATATGAATAATTTCTTTTTAAAATAATTATGTGTATGCTGAAATCCTTATCAATAAATAATATATTTAGATTGGAAATCTATTAAGTATCCCGACGCGCCTAGATTGTCACAGCCACATTGTACATTTGAAACCATTCGTGTCGATGTATTCGAATCCACCAAATTTAAAATAATTTTTAAGTCACTGTTCTTAATCTATGTTAATTTAATTTAGAGACGTACCTGGTATCTCCTATTGGCAACCTGCGGTACCATGTTGTTGCTGTTGGCAAGTTGGTACAGTGGCATCTGGGTGGACGCCTGGGGTCTCGTGATTGTCGGGATGCGGGCGATCGAGGGCGGAAGGGCAGAGAAAGGCGGCACGGGGGCTGAATTGTTTTTAGCTGTCCCAAGTGGTTTGAAGGGAGGAACGGTCGGGATCGGTGGGCTGAGGGCGATCACCCCGGGAACCATGCCGGGCATCACCCCTGGAAGAGCTCCGGGTACACCGCCGGCCATCCCGCCTGCCGAGGTCCACGCGAGAAGTGGGTTCCTACCGGAGTTACTTCTGCCTTCACCTTGATTTCCCTGTATAACAAAATATTTTATAGTGTTAAAAATCATCAAAAATAGTTAAGTAAATAATAATCTAATGATTGCTCGGAAGATCATAGGTAAACAGTCTGACACTCGTGTAGAAACTCACAGACTCACATAACACTTTACAAGCTCAACTTCTCTTTATTATTGCAAGAAGTTAATCAAAAAATCAGAATGGCTTATTGATTAGAATGATTGAATCATTTGTTCCATCATCTCTCTTCTACCACGTAACACATTATTGTGCAAGTGGAAAGGATAACCTCAAAAGCTCATTTCAGCCTAGCAATTTAAATTCTCCAGATCGAAAATCTAGCAATTTAGTTTAGGATGTCATTCAATCTCGATTTATGACTAAAGGTGCCCACGTTGTAATTAGTTGAGATATTATAAGGCAGAAAACTTGAAGAATTAGAGCATTTTTCCAAATATAGATATATATATACCTGCCGTGTAAATTAAAGCTGATTTAATGAATCTTTTGCGGTTTACTTTTCATCAAGCCTGGAATGAAGTATTGCACAAGCCTTGCCTCAACATCTCCTGTCGTTTCAGTCTATCAGAAGAATGTCGTTGAACTTGTGAACGGCTCTTTGGCTCAGGTAGATCCAAACAGCTGCAAGCGTCTTTCACAGTCGGGTCGCGGCCTTTGCTCGACCCTGTGGCGAAACCATCTCGGCCACTGACTCTTTTTTTAAACTTTGTTCTAAACTTTCAACGGAACGTGATCGACACGATATCATGAGAGAAACGGAAACGTGAGAGACTGTTGGGCGAACTCGAAGATGCCACTTTCAAAACATCTATTCATTAAATTTTGAAAATCCAGACAAGACTAAGTTCAAAACAAGGTTCGGTGTATTTCAGAACATAGAAAATATGTCTGAAATTATTTTGGTGAATGACCCTTCTGGAATGCATCATTCAAGGATAAAACTTGGTGTATAATTGATTCGTAATTTTTTTATGATTACACTGATGGTCAAACCTGAAATTCCAGTAGTGAACTTTAGGTGTAACTTTAACTACAGCTGTAATAATTAATTGATTCTACGTTAGGAGAAATTATGTAACTGAAGGGTTGACTATTTCGGCCATCATTGGTCAATATGCTCTGTACAAACATTTCAGCACTTTTAGTTTAGATAAGAAAAAGTGAAATTGTTGACAGGTACACAACGAACAATTATTTCGTCATTACATGTACAGATAATTCTGAATTTCCGGTGGGTTTGATCGTAAAAATAACAAATCATTCTTTCTAAAATTCATACATTTGTCAATTCTTTATCAAATTTCAAATTTTAAAATTTTCTAAACATCTATGCACAAGTCCGACATTTTCGCTTCAGTCTAAATAGGATGGCTTTTAAGCGAGTTTCAAAAATTGTAAATTCGAACATTTAACTTAACATTTAATTTAACTGTTTACTCTATAAATATCCAAATTAGTTGTAAAAAAGGCGAGAATTTTTTTAAATATATAAAGCAACAATATACGTGATGCACCTTAAGTTTATAGATCACTAAGAGGATCAATTGATAGGACTCCTAAAACGTAGTCTTTGTCTCTTTGGACGTCAAGGAGGATTATTGAAAACAGACTGGGAGGAAAGTTTTGTACCTTAGGATTAAAGTGGGATTTGAGGTTGGTAGTATTCTTAACCTGATTGTACATCTTTTATTAAGGTAATATTTATTGTGGATGGTGCGGTTGAAACCGTAGAACGGGTATTGACGGTGGATCTAAGGATTCTTGATTGTAGGTACTGGATTCTTGCGGGATTGAAAGGTTTGGCTAAACCCTATATTTCTATCCCTCTATCTATTCTATATGTCTATATTAGTTTCAGTATGGAGTTGTACATGGCTATTTTGTTGTCGAGGAAGAGCTCAGATCTGCTGTCTAGTCCTTTTGAGTCGTTTACTAGGAGTCCAGGATATTCGCTTGACTAGGTAGAAACTAATGTAGCAGATAACGTTTTCAGTAGGAAGGGTAAGTTATAATAGATTGATGGTAGAGAGATGCGAAAGAGGGTGAACGCCATGTTTTGTTGTGATGTCGGGTCTAATTCACGTTTTTTTTTTAACCATTGTTCAACGAAGTATAGATATGTCCGGAGGGTAGAATGGAGAGAATCAGCTTATATTAGGCTAATGGTGTCAGGATGGGAAGGGTTATCAGCAACTGCACTGAGTATAGAAGCGGATCGAGGACCCGAGCGAAGGTCGCGTATGTCTTGTACGAAGGAAATGATGATGATGCTGATGATGGAATGCTAGGAAGAGAAGGTGTTGTACTCCCAAAACACTACAGCCTTCTAGTTTGTGTACTTTTTCTAGTTCCTTAGTTCAGTTCAATTGATTCATCCTTCTCTTAAGAAGTGTTATATCACGGACTGTTATCTTCTTGATATCCTAATTATGACTCCATTTAGCGGTTGCTTTGCATTCAAAAATAATATGGGTGATATTTTCTTCCTTGTGGTTACATAACCTACAAATGTGGTCATCGCTGAATACACCCATGTTGAATAGCTGTATTTTCAGATCCCAGTGACCGCTATATGGTCCTGTCATTCCCCTGAATGCAACGAAGAGATACTCCGCTTGTCGGAAAAAGAAAGGACTTGAGGATGAAAATGTACGGGTTGCCTCTGGAGTGCCAGACTCGATCGAAAGCCTTCTTCTCAAGGGAAGGTGTGACGATGTCCACAACAGGACGGCACTGTTGAGCAGGGGAATTATTCAAAGGACTTATCAAGAATTGGCAGTAAACTATTATTTGGTAAGAACTTGTAAGTTGGTTTGGTTGGTTGAGTTCCATGGCGTCGTAAATTGCATGGTACCGAGAATAAGAGTAGTTCGAAAAGCTAGGGCCTTTGTTGGGAGTTTAGCGTTGAATGAGATCGATGAGATCAAATGAGACTTTTTGGAGTAGATTTTTAATTTCGTATTTAATGTCAGAAGGAGTAAAGATTTGGGTTAGAAGAGTAGCCATTGCAATTTAGAAAATTTAGTTATGATTTTACGATTTTTTCCAGGTTTATTTCTGGTATAAAAGCATATATTATGTAGTTAGAATGCATCATAACATAGAAAACATAGAGCTTAAATAATTCCAAGTTAAAATTTAAGTTAGTTTAAAGTTACCCTAGAGGAAACGTCATATTAAGAAGTCAAACATTATTTACTTTAGATGTTTACTTTTTGAAACTAAAGACTTTTTTTTGGATGTGGTTTACGAGCCATTTACGGCGTTTACAAATGTTTAGGTTTCAGTGGCACTTCAATACTTCAATAAGGAGGTCATCGATTTGCTCCAATTTTTCCATCTGTAATTCTTCATCAACACTACTATTATATTTATACGTGTATGTTTAGTCGTCATAATTGACCATATTAATTATTTCAATTAATTATTCTTTTTTATCTACGTTCTTGGTTGATGAAAGATGGAAAAGTTAGTGACACGAGTGGGATGCGCGCTAACTTTTTCATCTCAACCAAGACCTTTGATAAAAAGAATAATTAATTGAAATTACTATTATTTTACTTGTAATCTTCTATCCAATTTCTGTCTTGAACCTGACGACTAAATGTGTAGTTAAGGCGGTTATAAACGTCAATCTGTACAAATCAAAATTTTACCCGGCCTACTTTCTCAAATGTCTGTCCCTGAGGTGTTTTCAAACGCCGAATATGCATCTTGACGGTTAAAAATTGTCAATTGAAAAGAAAAAAACAAACGTTGAGGATATCGCGTCGAAATAGTTTCAAAGATTGAAAAGAATACCGGGGCATAACAATGTAAGCACCGTACGTAATCACCTTTCCAAAGTTAAATAATTAGAGCATATCTTTCATTCTTAAAGAATTTCGATAACAAGGAAAGATATGTATTATATATAAACATAAATGCTTCTCTCCCAGATTAAAAAAACGCAGCTCATACTTTTCCTGATAAAAAAATTTGATTTTAGTTTCAATAAGTCTATTTGAGTAATTAGTAAGGGTCAGTCAAGGAAACTAAATCTATAAAGTAGTGATTATAGTTATATTGATAAGTTAAATCAATGAAACGACATATTAAATAGTTTATTATCGAGTGGAAAAGAAATCCGCCTCTTATAGATTGTGACATGAGAATGTTTGCCAATATCTCCTACTTCTGTGGATACCAGATTTGTTTTTATATAAATTATTAACTTGATATTCTTGATTAATGAATGTTCGTCCCTTGTTTTTACTCTGAATCGTGAAGTAAATTATTTGTATTAGAGAAACACATCACGTCTAATGAAATCATAACAGTGTTTTTAAACAGACAGGATGATTAATGTAAGGAAATGTGTGAAACCATTCCAAAATAAGGGGTTTGCCGCTAAAATAATACACTCGAGGCAAACCGTAATAACTAGACGAATTAAAGTAATTGAGCTATAAAAGCGACCACCGGATACTAATTATTTACCGAATGGCCTAGTGATTTGACCCAAAGACCCGACACTCCTTAAAGGACCATAGGATGTAATCGGACGTTGAAGCCGGTTTCGTTTTTACGTGATATCAACCTGACGGTTTTATTTTATTTTTTTGCCAAGAGGAAAATCCTGTGGTCGGTATGTTTAAAAGCCGCAGGCACTTTCCCCTCCGCGGATTTCCAAGCAACATTAGGAAAAGGACGACGGGAGCCACTCGCACGAAACGCACGATCCACTTTCCACAATTAGATTATGGGGAGAAACAAACACCGTCTACTGACCGAGGACGAGCGTTCGCTTTCAGGGGAAAAAGTGAAACTTTTTACTGAGGTGTAGAGAAACTGGGATTAGCATCTCTCTTTGCTCTATGCGTCACTGGTGAAATAAATCCCAAAGGTCAAAACGACGTTACACATCAATCAGTTTTTTAAAATCTCATCCAAACTAATTGCAAAAAATCATTGAGCCCGAACCCTCTCAGAATCAAAAATTGTGTGAGATTTA